TTACTAGTACAATATTTTGCAAAACGAAACGAAACGAAACCAGGCGAGATGTAACGAAATTAAAAGAATAATGCAGATATATTTTCTAATAAATTAAAGATAACTTTCACGAGGATTTTGGAATAATCTCCAATTAATGACAAGGATTTTTATTCATTTTGCAAAGTAGTAAGATAAGAAGAGTTACTATTTTTTGAAATCAACTATTTTCACCCTGCGGTGAAAACTTGACGCCTTTCATGGTAAAGTGGGTAGAACATGAGTAAATGAGGGTAGATAGCGGTAAACGTGATAGAACATGGCTAACCTAAAGTAGATGAGTGGGAACGTGGTAGAACATAGTTAATCAAGGGTAGATGGGGGTAAACTGGGTAGAACATGAGTAAATGAGGGAAGATGGGGGTGAACGTGGTAGAACATGGCTAACCTAGGGTAGATGAGGGTGAACGTGATAGAACATGGGTAACCCAGGGTAGATGAGGGTGAACGTGGTAGAACATGATTGGTCAGGGGTAGATGGGAGTAAACTGGGTAGAACATGAGTAAATGAGGGTAGATGGGGGTAAACGTGGTAGAACATGGGTTACCTAGGGTAGATGGGGGGTAAACTGGGTAGAACATGAGTAAATGAGGATAGATGGGGGTAAACGTGGTAGAACATGGGTTACCTAGGGTAGATGAGGGTGAACGTGGTGGAACATTGGTTACCTAGGGTAGATGAGGGTCAAAGTGGTAGAAAATGGTTAACTAAGGGTAGATGGGGGTAAACGTGGTAGAATATGGCTAACCTAGGGTAAATGGGGGTAAACGTGATAGAACATGGGTTACCTCGGGTAGATGAGGGTGAACGTGGTAGAACATGGTTTAACTAAGGTAGATGAGGGTTAACGCGGTAGAACATGGTTAATCAAGGGTATAGGGGGGTAAGTGTAGTAAATCATGGGTAAATTAGGGTAGATGGGGGTTAGTGAGATAGAATAAAGGTAACGGATAGAATAAGGTTACATAGGACACATCGTGCAACATACATGAAATTTATAATACTTAGTACTGATATGTATTAGTTATTGGGACATAATATGGACCTAACATGAACGCTTTACCCAGAGGAAGAACAGGAAGAAAATTGTCCGGAATCCTTCAAAAACAATCGTCTCATTCCTGTTCATCCGAATCGATGGAAATCAGGATCCCAGTCCAAACCTATTTTTCCATTTCATCTCGTTTTCAAGTCGGTTATTCAGATTGGTATATCTCTACCACAAGTTTATGTAAGTTTGTTGCCGTTTTGCCTTACAGTCTGTGAGCTTGTGTTACTGTAACACAAGCTAACTTTTAGTTGAGGTCATAATTTGTTACTCGGTAAGGTTATTGCGACCTTTATTTTAGAATTAATCAACTTTTTCGCATAAGGAAATGCAAAAAACCTTTGCAGCAGTATTTGCCTCCTTGCATGCTTCTTGGTCGTCATATTTAGAAAACAACAAATACAGCGTCTAAATTTTTATTATTTCCTGTTTTTTTCTTCTGATTGTGTTTGTCTAGTTTTTAAAAATATTTAAACTGTTCCAAGCAATATTTATATTATTCATTACATGCTATAAAATTTCTGGTCACCTGGTGATACCAGCAATTTCTTTAAAATAGTACAGACATCTTGTTTTGCAGATTATTGTAAATGTTGATATTATGACAACTACGGCCTGCTCCCAGTTGGCTTGTTAGCTCAATTGGTAGAGCACTGCACTAGTATCGCAGAGGTCAGTGGTTCGAATCCCGTACAGGCCTGATTTTTTTCAGGTCTGATTTTCGCTATTGCATAAGTAGCGCTATCTACTGCGAAGTATCGTGCATCATACATACTATAAGTATGTTATTAACCATTTGTGAGGTCAAGAAGGCTGGATGTATGCTGAGTTTTTTCTTGCATTTTTATGGATTGAGACAAAGTTGAGGTCCATAAAAATATGAAATGTGATCAAAACAAAGAGACTAACATTCAGCCATCTTGACTGCACAAGCTTAGTTCAACCGCCGCCCAGTTAGCCCAATGGATAGTGCGCTGGATTGTTGTGGGGGAGGTAGAGGGTTTGAGCCCTGGCCAGACCAACACTCAAGGTCTTAAAATAATTGAGAAGAATTTGCTACCTTTCTATAACATCAAGAAATGGTTAGATATTCTAGTCTTCTCGGATAGGGACAAATAAATGGAGGTCCTGTCTCCTGCAGGGTTAGGGGTAGGAGACGTTAATTTCCCACACACGAGATTACTGTGTGATGGATGTCCTCCCCTGGGTGGGATGGGTGGGAAGGTGAGATCGATATGGACTGAAGCGGCTGCCAGAGGCGCCCGAGATTCTGATGTCTGTTCTCAACCTTACTGCAGTACCCGTAATTCAGCCTCATGGCTGCAAGTGATCAGAAATAAACTATAATACTATTACTATTACTTACTTAATAAAGAATTTATTATATTACAAAAAGATTTTGCTTTATTTAAAAGAATGAGTTGTTTACTTCAATTACCAGGGAAGAAAGCCAACTGTGTTTATAGCACAACAAACTCACAAAAGTCATTTCTGTTTTTTGTTGGTTTAACTATCTTGATCTTCTGCCACTTTTTGCATTTTCATCACTGAAATTGTCCAAGAATTACAACCGTAAGTTCTAATTAAATTTTTTTTATGTATAGGATCAATGCAGCCAATTCTGAGAGGGCAAGATGGTCCCATCTTACCTGCTGAGGTAACCAATCAGAACATAGGATTCGTTTTATCTCAACCACAGACATTGCGAGCGATGTAACAATTTGTAGTATCGATGAAACATTTTGTGTTTATAGTCATTACTTTTGGAAGTGTATGAAAATGCAGTGGTGTACTGATTAGGGCACTGGGCTCTAGGTCAAGAGATTGTAGTTTGAGACCTGGTGAAGCCAATGTGTTGTGTTCTGGAGTGGTGATGACTTTGTGCCAGGAATTTTGGAGCAACAACCAGATGGTGAATAACAGTCTTTTGTAAAATTTTTCATGATAAAGTATCAAGTTGCATGAAAAATGCACATTCTTTTTTGTAATAATTTTTGTTACAATCATATATGCATTGTTACACTGCTAATACAAGTTTGGATTTACTTTTTAGCGTCTGGAATAGTAGATTTATTGAAGAAACCCAGATTGGCCAAAAACTACACCAAATTTTATTAATAAGGTATCAGCTTAAAATTAAACATTTTGCAGTGTAGTTAGTCTGGACAACAGGGTTTTCAATAAGAGCTGGGAGGCAGCTGAACTTGCCATTTATTTCACCTAATTTCCCTCCCTTTGCTGATTGAGAGCTTATTTTAATTTTTTTGCACTGCATAAGATAAATTTTACACGGAACACAAGCATCAAACTCAGGATTTACTCTAGTTCTAGAATGCAAGAAATGCACTCTAGGAGACCAAAATTTTAAACCATACTCAAAGTACCCATTGTCCCTGGACCCTGCCTAGCAGATAAATAAGTTAAGAGTGCCATAATTGTATCATGTCTTTAAATAACGGTATATACTCTTAGCCCTTACTGGGACAGACCCAGTCCACCAAATGGAGATCGTTGAGTACGAGTGACACATAATCCTTTATTAATGATATCACCGACCACTTTGCAGCTGAGTATGATGCTGTATCCATTGACAGTTGAAGAGTTTGAAGATGAACTGCAGCAGACACTCAATCAGGATAGGCTTCACAAGGTACTGCTCTGCTATTATAATCTGGCACTTTTTCATTCAATAGATCACCACTTTATTTCAATTTTATATATCACAGACTTTCCTCCAAATCCTTGAAACATAATGACACCCCAGAATTCAAACGATCACTAATAAATTGTGATTACAGTCAATTCAAATATTACATACAACTGACTTGAGATGTTTTGTGCAGTAGAATGAAAGTAATTATAATTACCTGAGAATGACAGGGACAAGTGAAGGAATGAACTATTTTGTTCATGCATTTACTGCATTCACTGTCACTCTAATGACAAATTATTCATTTTGTGAAATTCCTTTTAGAACAAATTATTATTCCTGATGATGGACTGCACATTTCAATTGTGGAGAGAAGACTTAAGGTTTGTGAACCTTGTACATATAATTTTAATGTATGCACCAGAAAAATTATTTTGTTGTGTTTTGTTTCATTTTTGATAATTTTAAAGTGAAATGTAAATGATGTACTTTTTATTTTGTTTGTAATTATGGTTTTTGTGTACTCCAATTAAACTGCATGAAGGAGTTTCTATTTTCTTTGCCTCAACTACATAAAAAAAGAGTGACAATTAAAGCATATAACTATAATAGGAATTTATATGCAAACTACATGATGTACATAACTTGCCCTGAACTTGTTGCTTTTGTTTTATCACGAAACCTGTGTGTCTCTACTAAAATGGGACTGAAGCTCTGGGTGACATCACACTAGCTTACTAATGATATTAATGGGAGATAAAAATAATAATAGCCACAATAGTGATGCTTTTATTTCACCTGACATCAAGAACATCGATATAATAAACATCATGCAATCTCTTAAGCAAAGGTGGGGTTAAATGTCGGCTAAGAGCCAAATACGTATAAAAAGGCAATGAAAGCCTGAAGAGAAGGCCAGAGCGTAGGGAGGGGGCTGGAAAATTCTTCTACAGTGCTGAAAATCTGTGTTCGGATGTTAACATGATGGAAATGAAGGTGAGAAGGACCATGAGAGAAACTGACCTTGCCTATAACCTTGGTGCTATTTGATCTGACCTCATTTGATTGGCTTAAGATCTGTGATTGACAACACTCCTTACCCCATGCAAAGGCACACCTAAATACTCAACTATATATATGACAGGCCTCGAGATAAAATCACATTATGCTTATGTCATAATGTTGGCCTTTCTGCTTCTTTGAAGGTCTCAGTACACAATGGGTGCACATTTGTGGGTGTACCTCACGTAGTATATACCTTGAACCAGAGTATTAAGGTGGCAAATCTGTAAGAAAGTCATTGGCTTGGCAGTCCTCATTAAGAGGTACATTGCTTTCATCCAGCAAATATGGGTACTGGTTATGACATTACATACATACATACATATGTTAATTGACCACTCCTCATGGGGGCTTTTCAGAGCAAAATCCCACCCCATCCCACCCCAGGGGAGGACATCTATCACACAGTAATCTCATGCGTGAGAAATTAACGTCTCCTACCCCTGTCAGGAATGTTTCGATTGCTTCTAACACAGAGATTTTCCCGATAATATTCACATTAAAATGACCCACAGATTCGACTCACTTAACTATTTTTAGTGTCCCAAAACCAAAACTCGCTCAATCACACGTCGCCTCACCCATGGTTATTTTTTCTTAAATCCTAATCTTACATCACGTGATTACAGCTAATCAATGGGTAACGAGAACAAAAGGAACAAAGTTCACTTCCACAGCATGACAGTCATGTAGTCCATTTCTCAACACCCCTAACCCTGCAGGAGACAGGACCTCCATTTATTCATCCCTATCCGAGAAGACTAGGGTATCTAACCATTTCTGGATGTTATAGAAAGGTAGCAGATTCTTCTCACTTATTTTTAGACCTTGAGTGGTGGTCCGGCCGGGGCTCGAACCCTTGACCTCCCATACAACAGTCCAGCGCTCTATCTATTAAGCTAACTGGGAGGCAGTTTAAACCTCGATCCAGCCAGTCTTTATGAAAAGTTTAGTCTATCCTTCATTTTCTTGGGTTGATCAATAAGCAACCTTCTTTTGCAATATCAGAACATTATCCATAAAATAGTTGGTTAGAAAAAGCTCCTATTTATTATTAGCCAATTAGTCAGAGGGTGTTTTCTGATATAACATGCAATACCACACTCTTTATTTATAGCTGTGCAATGCAAAAATGTGTATAGCAGCTGGAAGATCATGATAGTAAAAATACTTGTTTTACTTTTTCCCTCTAATTTACAACTGGCTTTTTCAGATTATGACCATTTATGGTATTTAAAATGACTTTTCCTTTTTCCTTTTGTGTTGATGATAAATTAATGAGTTTTGAGTTTTTCCCATGACATTATTTTATTTCTCTGTTCAGTGTTTTCAAAATCAACCATCGGCTGTCGCATCCAACGGCAACTTTGTGATTTGCGACGCCTACTTTGTGTTGGGAAGATAATAAAATGAATAAAGGTTTTGATAAAAGGGGAAGGTGTCCACAAAAGACTTTGTGAGAAAAAACCCTTGGAGTTTTCCTTGGAAATTACTCAAGCAGATGCTGGTACACAAATGGAAGAGGAGCTAGTTCAACTTGAGGAAAAACAACAAGAAGTGGTAGCAAAAGTTTTCTGCCTAGATGAAGACCATGATGAATCTGACAGTGAGGCAGATGACAGTGGATGGGGGAATGATGACAATAATCAAGACTACTTTTCTGACTAAAAGACTTTTTGTAAGAAGATGAAGAATTACCATGCTTTGTAGATCATTAACACAAATCAAACACAAATTGTGTGTAAACGTGTACTTTTGCAATAATTCATGAAATGTTGGATTCTCTTAGTTGTTATTGTTTTGGAAAATTAAAAATGAGCAGTGTACTGTGATGGATATGTAAGACAACTGTCAAAAATTGTAATTAATAGCCATAGTTTGAGACAATTACGTTGTTTAGCCTGTTTCAAGCTTTAAAGCCCAGAAAAAAATGCACATCTGTCTAGGCTGTACAAGATACAGCAATGAGCTAAAGGGACATTTATAAACAATAAACCAAGCATTAGCTATGTAGAGTTTCATTTGATCCATTATTAAAAATTCAATTTAACTTTGCTATTTCAAAGTTACTTTATTGAACCAAAGAGATGCAATGTTGTGACAGAGTTATTAAAAGCATCTAGATTTACCAGTGTTCTGGATGTCTAAAATCTGCTAATTTGTGTCTCAAAATACTGTAAAATGAGTCTCAGAGAGTCTTGAATATCAAAATTTTCTGGGGTGGGCATGTCCCTAGACCCCCCCTAGGAGGCAAGACCCTTTGGGCCTTGCAACTCCTACTCCATTCAGTGAAACTTCTACTTTCAAAAGTTGTGAAAACACTGCTGTTGTAGGAAAATCTTCTCCTTGGCCCTTAGGAGTTGACTCGAACTGAAGGAGCTTGTTCATCATCCATTGTTTGCTATTATCTTTGAACTAGAATATTTTCTGTCTGAACATTTGCTCATGCAGCCACTTTTTGAGACCAAATGTAAAAAGGTTTATTAATAGAAACTTGGCTTCTCCATTCAGTAGAGGGAAACATTAGGTATTTTTGGTCAAAATTTCAAGTTACTTTAAATTACTTTATAGGTTTCTGTTTACTCTGATTTGTTTTTTGAACTGTCTTGGTCATAATTAATGGATTTTTTGGTTTGTCTGTTTGATTTGTTTGATTTGCATTTTTTTTTTATCATTAGTATTTTCTTGTTTGAGTTTTTTCTCTTTTCTTGTGTTACTTTTCTTTATTGAGATCATTTAGCCAATCATTCCAACCAGCTACATATAATGTTTGGGTAAACAGTCTTAAACACCAAGAGCTCATTACTGAAACAAAGATTAGCATTTATTAATAACATGTGCACTCTTAGCTTTCCTCAATTTAGCCAAATATCTACCCTGGCCTTCCCTCCCCAGGCCCCTTTGATATTGCAGGAAGAATGTTTGGTCCTCTCAGTAGTACCCCAGAGGGTGGAGATCAAGGAATGTCGCTAACACCTGGTGTGGCAACAAGACCTCCGCTTCCACCAGGAAACAGGTAATCAAGTTATTTTTAGAAGGCTCTTCTTTTTATCACGTGGAACTATACAGCAGCACTTGTAAAAGGTGTCTAACTTATTTTGACTGTTTGTTCATAATTATGGAAGAAATTGTCTTGTGTATTTTCTCTTCACAAATATAAGTGTTCTTGTAAATGTTCTTAAGATTTTCCTTTAAGTAAAGAAGACTTCAAAATTGATTAAAATCAATATCCTTAAGACTGCATTAAAAGTACTATCGAAAATTGATTTACATGCAATAACCAACGAAAACTGCAAATAACACTGCAAAGTTCACAGCATACTTTACGTTCAATGGACATGTAGGAAGTTCAATCAGGTTGTGGTGTTGGCTTTGGACTCCTCCTTCATTTTCTGTTGTACAGAACTACTTCTGGCTCCAGTGTCTCTCCACTTTCTATCCTGCAGGTGAATACGATTGTCCATGAAAACTTTAAGACCATTTTTTTCACATTCATAACCGAAGACCATGTCTTCGAGAACCTGTAGTTCAGGTCTATAGTATATGTCCCTAGACTTCAGAGCCTCGAGGTTGAGATACACAGCAATCCGTGGAGAACGGCAAACAATTTGTTTTTTCATTGTAGGTTTTACGCCCCTATATCGCCCCGGGCTCATGGCTGCGATGGGGGAAGCATCGGACTTGGCTCTCTGCACGAACTGTTCAATACTTTGAAAAACAATGCCGAACTTTCGCCGTCTCTCTGGAGAATGTTTAGTTCCTTTTCCATCTTTTGGGTGGTACTCGTAAAAGCACCGAACACTGTCATCAATCATCCAAATGAAGTTCAACTTCAATCGTAGAGCAATTTTTTGTATCCACAATCTGGGGTATCCAGCACCAATCTCATCATTTGGTAGGCTGATGATGTGAAACTTGTCTCCACAGTACTTGACATACTCTTCGAATTCTGTGGGTCTTACGACAAGAATCCTGATTGTGTTTCCAGAGTTCTGGATTTGATCTTCCGGCCAATCCAGCAGAGCAATCTTCGCTCGACGAAAGGAAGGTGTAAAAATCCATCTTTGGTTGATTTTGTCAGGCTTAATTGCTCTAATTCGCTTACCGCTCTTGTCGCTATCGTCGAGCCAATGTGAAGTGTTATGAGGTAAATGAACCTTGCACATATACTCGCAGTCTAGGAACCAGATGTTTGGTTTTTGCGGCGGTTCTTGTTGCGGTGGGAAAGAATAAGCCCTGAAACTTTCTTTTTCTTTCCTTGGAAGATCTGGCTTGTCCTTTGACTGGTCCTTTCCCCTTAGCTTGTCCACTACTTCCTTTACATGCGGGGTTAGATTTTCTGAGGCTTTGGTTTCCGAGCCTCCGCTTTTCATGTCTTTGTTAGTTGAGCTATTGTTTACTGACCCTTCGTTTCCTGAATCTTCTTTGTCTTTGCCTTCGTTTGCTGAGGCCTTGGTCTCTGAGCCTTCGGTGTCTGAGGCCTCGGTGTCTGAGGCCTCGGTGTCTGAGGCCTCGGTGTCTAAGCCTTCGGTGTCTGAGTCTTCTTTGTCTGTGTCTATGTTTACTGAGGCCTCGGTCCCTGAGCCTTTGGTGTCTGAGTCTTTTTCATCTGTGTCTTCGTTTGCTGAGGCCTCGGTCTCTGAGCCTTCGGTGTCTAAGCTTTCGTTACGTTCCACTACCTCTTCTAGTTCTTGCCGACACGTTTTGCCTTTCATTTCCTTGACAAATTGAGGGAGATGCTCATAAATTTTTCCTAAATCGACCTTACCCCAATGTTTCCAATTTTTGTCCACCTTGTACACTGCTGATTCGGAAATGTATTCAGACATAGGTCGAACCGGTTCCCACGGGTGATCCTTCATATATTCTCCATCGTTTTGCGTAAATTTCAATTTTCTTTGTGGTCCTCTCTTCGTTTTATTTCCCTTGCTCTTATTCTCAGGGGTTTTGTCATTTCTTTGCTTTGTATCTTTACCATGGCTGTCTTTGATCTCCAAACTTGCTGCCCGTTCGGTAATATTCTTTACTGACTCTTCTGGTTCGTTAGATCCACTTTTGGGAGTATCCGGCTTTGGCGGCATGCTCATCTGGCAATTTTCCCGTTTAAGACTGTACGACGAGTGCTAAATGAGGAAAGCGATTACACACTACTCTCGCACTTGCTGCTAAATACGACACCCACACCAGAACAGTTATCTGCGTTCAATGTTGGCGTTGGCGCACTCTGATGCGCCTGCTCAATGCATCGAACAAAGATCGTTAAACAAAAGTCGAGTCATTTGCATGTTGTTATGGTCAAGTGGACATCTTTGCATCCTCTTTGATGGCATTCCTCCGAAACGAATTCGTTCTTGGGAGGCAACGGACGAGATAAAGAAAGGAGGGGTACATTGGGGTGTATTAGAAACCACAAAACCGTAGAAACAAATCCTCCAAAACCACAAAACCGCAAGAAATCGATCAAAACCGAAAACCGCACCCAGATTCGTCAAAACCGATAAATTTTCACATCCCAGTTATCAAAACCCTGCTCAATCCGATACAGTGGTGACAAGTGAAGCTTACAGAGGTCTGTAGAGACCCATTTCAAGCGTGACGTGCATCAAGTGACATTGCGAACTGGAGGACAAGCTTCATTTTGTTTACAACATGGCGGCGAAAGCGAATACGAAGCGTGGGATATTACCCGGTTATTTTGAGAGTCTACAGCAGAAGGAATAAAAGCAAAGGTATATTGAAAAGTTAAAATCCATCGAAGGACAAGATCCATACGAAATTTCGCGTAGAGTGACTGCTATCAGAACTTTGCGAACGGGAGAGTAACTAATGTGCGAGCCTGCGAACCGGAGCCGTTTTTTGCGAGCCTCGAGCCTCTTCTTGCGAGCCACTGTTTGTTCTATATATATCTTTCCGTTTTCTCTCCTCATTTTATTCTAACAGTCTTTGGCTCCTTTCCAGAAAGCATTCGAAGGTGAAAATCTGAAAAATATCAAACTAGACGCTCGAGGAGTGTTCACTCGGGCTTCGTAGCGGGTAGTTACTAAAAGTTGGAATCACCTGAAACCACCTGAAACCATCTGAAACCACCAATGAAACCACCTGAAACCATCTGAAATTACCTGAAAATTACATGAAAGCACGCAGACATGAACGCAGACCG